GCTCAGCAAAGGAACAATGACCTCTGCCAGCACTTCTGTCTGGGAGAAGGCTGCCCTTTCAGTTAGTTCTCGCCCTGAAGCCAGACAGACAATTCAGTTCTTCCCTGTTGTCTCTGGTTCCTTCCAAGCTGCTGTCCCAGCGCTGAGCTCAGTGAGTCTGAGTAAGTCCATGTGTGGGCCCTTTAAGAGGAACTACCTGGAACCCCAGCAGCCTCTGTCTTAGCTACAATCCCCACTGGTTTCCACAGCCAGAAATTATGGGGACTTCACTTCCCAGCACTGGAAACCTGGGGAGCCCAGTGTGGGGCTGGGACCCTTGCTTCTCAGGGGGACCTCTGCAGCTGAGATAGCTCCCCAGCTTTTTTACCAGCAGGTCTGTGTCTCTGCCCCTCTTACCAGTTTCAAAGTGGCTTCTTCGTTATATCCTTGGTTATAGGATTTCTGTGCAGCTAGATTTCAGAGGTTCTCAGCGGTGGTTGTTTGGTAGTTTAGTTGTAATTTTGATGTGGTCATGGGAGGAGGTTTACCTATTCCGTTATCTTGATCAGAGGCTGACATACACAAATCTTATAACCCAGCAACGTGGCTCCTAGGTACATCCCCCATAGAAACACAGACACATGTCCACCTGTACATGAATGTTCACAGCAACATTATTCATAATTGCTAAAAACTGAAAATATCCCAAATATCCATCAGCAGTAGACTAGATCGATGAACACAGTGAGTACTGCACAACATTGCATGAAAGCCTCCAGAGACCCAACAGCCTGGGCGATGCTGACCAACATGGGCTTGCGATGTGAAGCAGGTTTGGGATAAACAGCTAAGTGGGCAAACAGCGGCACCCAGAGCGGGCGGCCTGCGTCCAGGCGCCTCCGATTCAGAAGCGAAAGGGGTTTGCGGGTGGCAGCGCGAGGTGGCACTGCTGCCGGCGCAGCCTGGCCCCGAGGAGCCGCACCTGGAGCCCCGCGTCCTAGGGCACTGGCCCGCGGCTCCGCACAGCCACTGTTCTAGATGGAAAGAGACTCAGGAGGATAACCAAGTGCTATGCGTGGCTTTGAAATTAATTAGCTCTGACCTACCTGCTAGCACCAGTGAGCAAAGACGGTGCCATGCAGTCCCTCACGGAGGCCCTCCTCACTCCTGACGTTGAGGGGTGAATGTCATGACACCCGCAGCTTACTCATAGAACAATATGCAGGTGTTCGCCGTATCCTTCTTTCAACTTTCTGTGGATTTAAAAATGTTCAGGAGAAAAATTAAGAAAAAGAGTCTCTAAACATCCATATAATTAAAAAGTAAAACTAAGTTGTTTTTGTTTTGTTTTTTTAAAAAATTGATTTAAAAACAATAGGGGCCATAACACTTTATGGTCGAAATATTTCTAAGGCAAATTGTATGGCTTAATTCTACGTTCCGGTCAGTCGCTGAAGAGAAGTGCGGGTAAGGGGGTACAGAGCGGCACCGTCAGGGGAGTGACCAGACAGCGGCGGACAGCGGGCCGGGACCCGCACGCACAGCCCCAGGAGGGGACAGTGGCCTCTGGAACCGCATGCAGGTGCTGCCGGACAGAGGCGGAGCTCAGGCCTGGCCCTCGCTAGCTGCAGGGGCCCGGGCAAGCGTTTTCCGTTTAATTTCCTCAGGTTACTTTATCAAACATTAGAGGCTTAACACGGAACAATTCACGAATTGCAGGCAGATGTGTGTTAAATTTTTAGCAAAGTATCTGGCATAATAAGTGCATCAAGGTTGGTGCTATTATGATCACAACCATATTTTACACAATTAGGCAGGAATGGGCATTCTGGAGTTACAGCCCCACACACGAGGGCAGGGGGCCACCTGAGAGCGACGGCCCCTAGTGGGAGGGGCACCTGGGACCAAACCAACAGCCTGGCCCCCAAATGCAGACCCGGTGGCCCTCACGCTGTCACTGCTACTGTATGTCCTTGGGGAATTTATTTCATCTTCCCAAGTCTGTTTTCTGAACAAATGGCAAATGCACAGAATAAATGGTAGCAATTTTTATTAAAATCTGAATGGATATATTTAAAACATTTTCATGATGTTTTATTATTTTAATAAAGACTTACTGAACTGAGTTATACAGGAATTCTTACCTTCATATGGAAATGACAAGGTGTTTTGTTTTCGGAGAAGGCCTAGGTCAGGCGGATGACCTCTGTCACAGAAAGTGTAATTTGAAACAATAGCCGCCCAGCTCTCCGCTGGGTTTCAGGCAGGAAAGCTGCTGAGAAGACAGCGAGTGCATCCGCCTGCTGCCTCATCCTTGACACTTGGAAAGTTCAGAAAAGTGGAGAGGCTAAGAAACCCATCACCTACGTTGAATACTTGCTAACTGTGTCAGTCAGGAAAGGCTGGGTTATACTTTAGTGACAAACAATCCTAGTGGCTTTTAAAGCAATACAATTTACTACTAAGGGTTCAGCATAGGTTGGTGGGAGGTTGGGGCTGTACTTCTAGGCAAAGCCAGAGGAGCTGGTGCCAGGGTGGTGGAGCTGGGGCTGCTGTGGGCCAGCAGCAATGCCTGGCAGAGAACCAGCCGAAGCAGCCACTGCCCGCCTCTGGGAGCGGACCTGCAGGGCTGACCCCCCATCTCCAGGCGCTGCCTGCAATGCCCACAGGAGCATAGAGTCAAGCAGAACAGCTTCTGCAAACCCTGGCAGTACTGTCATGGCCTGCCGCTCATCACACAATGAACTTACCAGATCGGACTTAAATAAATAAAGACCTTAATCAAATCTAAAAACATAATGAATTGTGTAGGGAAGGAAACCCTGCTCCAAGCCAATCCATCACTAGCTTTGTCTTTGCAGGAATGTCTTATAACGGAGTCAGCCAGGCCTCTCTCCCCCGCCGCCTCGGGGGGCGACTCCAGCTGCGCGCTCCTGGGCGTTGCTGAGCAGAACTCAGTGAATGGCACGCGGGTTGTTTCCATTCCGGGGCTATTACAGGTAAAACTTGTGCAAGTTTTTGTGAAAAGAACGTTTTTAATTTTCAGGGTCATAAGGGCAGCGCATGTTTAACTCTGAGAAATTGCCCCATTCCGCACCCCAGCGTGTGAGGGTTTAGTTTCTTGTATCCTCACCAGCACTGGGTGTGTCTGCTCACTCATTCCGATAGGTGTGCTCGCTCTCTCTTTCTTGGGAAATTCTGTGGATTAGTTAATCATAAATAAAAAGCATAACCTCTGTCACCTCTTACGTACCTGGAAGGAAAAATATGGAAAGCGGCTGCTGAGGGGAAAAATACAAACACCCGGAGGAGTAAGGTTTACACACAGCAGCAGCAGCAGCAGCAGCAGGGGTCGCTGCCAGATGTTCTAAAGGAAGAATAATAACAATGGCTCTCCCTCTAACAGGAGGACCGCACACAGCCAGCGGCACACTCCAGTGTTGGGGTACACAGAACCTCCCAGGCTGAATCTAATAGACACCAGTTTCACACACACACACACACACACACACACACACACACACACCCTAACAGTGTACACATACATGCACACACACCCTGACAGTGTACACACACATATGCACATACACCCTGACAGTGTACACACACATGCACACACACCCCGACAGTGTACGCACACACACCCTGACAGTGTACACACACGTACACACACACCCTGACAGTGTACACACACGCACACACACCCTGACAGTGTACACACACACACACACACCCTGACAGTGTACACATGGACATTTCAACAAACGGAAGCAATATCTGGACACTAGGCAGAATCAGTGCAGACTCAGGGGCCCGCTCTCTACTCCCATAACATGAAAAGCCACCCCACGTGGCCGGCCGGGCCGACCTGGGAACAGCTGCCAGGTTCCTGAAGGGGCCGCTGGCCTCTGTCAAGCTTGGGGGTGGGAGGGCGTGGAGGGGGAGCCGTGGGCCTCCGGGCCTGGCTTACTGTTGAAGTCCTGTGCTGTTTGCTGCACAGATTTAGAAAGCGCCAGAGGACAAAAACAGAACAGACCGGCGATTGCCTGGAAGCCCCTCCCTCTCCTGCCTCTACAAGACCAGCAGCGGAGGCGGGAAGGCACCGAGTCTGCTCAGTTACAAGCTGTGTCGAAGACATCATCGACAATATGTGCTGATTCCGCAACAATTCCACAAGCTATACCTACGTGGACTGCGAATTGGCAGACTATAAACTGAGAAGCTGATGGCAATAAGGTAGAGAAATGTAGCTAAACTTCCCATTTCCAAACAATGGTAGGATATGGCCCAATTCACACCTTAAAGAAAATATTGGAGCCAGAGAACAGGAAGTAATGGGCAAAGTAACTCAGAAAGTAAGTGCACTAATCAGACAAGGAAACATTATCTCATAGAAATAGCAAATTGGGTTCCAGAAACCTTAGGACACTATGGACAAAGTCTTTGATGACAAGGGCCGAGCAAGGACACATGCCTTTAAGCACTGAGGCCGTTTTAACAGGATCTGCTGAAGGAAGCCTGTCGGCTGTCAAGGGAGAAATGAGTGATGGAGGAGATGGACTGAGCCAGACACCGCAGATGCACAGAGTATGGGAGGCCTGTCTGCGCGCCGTGGCTGCACACGCGGGGTTAGCACTTGCTGTGCCCGCTGCGCAGTGCCCGGGCCTCTCTCCAGTAACGCCTGCTCACGCAAGGACGTCACACAGTCACACTGGACAGCCCGACCCAAGGGCAGGCGGGCAGGGTGTGGTGGTGCACCTGGAGGGGCCTCCTGCCCCCTTCTTCTCCAAGCGGGGTGAGGGCTGGGAGTTCCTCGGACTCATCTGGCCTACACAGATGTAAGAAACATCAATTTAAGACAGCGAGGACCGAAAAAAACAAAACAAAACTAGGTCCTACTCTCCCAAAAGACCCGTGGCAATAACTAACCAGCTCCGGAACTAGAGGAACCAAAATGCCAGGGAAAAGCTTTACAAAGTCAATGCTATTACATGTAAGTGAATAAGCTCTAAAACATGGTTGGTACATGCAGAGTTTAAAACTGTATTAAAAGCGGCATGAGTAATATTCCTATTTTACATTTATCCTTGGACAACTTATATTAGTTTGACAATTCTGGGTTCAAAAATAGATATATGTACCTTTTATCTAACCTCATCATTTTAAACTTTCCATATTTCCTCTGTTGGGTTTGTGGGTCAGATAAATCATCATTCTTTTTTTAAAATAGTTTTTATTTTATTTTTATTTTTTCACTAGAGGCCCAGCGCACAATTAAATCATGCTCGTGTAGAGTTCCCTGGGTCTAGCCTGCCATCAGGGCCATGTCCGCCGCCCCACAACGTCTTGCACACTCCGCGGACGCTGCTGGCACCCCTAGATGCTTCACTGATGCTGCCGGAGCCCGCGACGCTCCACCGACGCTGCTGGCACCCGG